GTGTCCAGACAGTGGGTCGAGAAACATCGACTTAAGGCCACGAAGTTCAATGATAAGAACATTTGTGTGAAACTTGGAGACAACCAGATTGTCGAGACGGAACTGGAGGTACTTCCCCTCGAAATCATGGTGTCTGGGTTGGACGAGGCGTACAAGTGTATTGGTGTCGTCTACGGCATACCCGACGAATTCGACTGCATCCTTGGAATACCATTCTTCGAGGATACGCAGCCGCAGATCGACTGGAGTGGTCGACGTATCGAAGGAACGCAAGTGAAGACTCTGCATTGGAAACAAACAGGGGAGACCTGTGGACCGATCGAGGAAAGCGGACCGGTGATTACCTCCGGGCTTCGGAGATCTGTCGAGACGAAAGGCCTATCGGTGAAAATACACGATTCCTGTCGAGGTGCGGGGTGGAAACGGACGTGAAGTCCGTGGTTGAAACTGTTTGCGACGCAACGCAGAACGAGAGCCCATGAGTTGTTTGCGAACAACCAGGAGACGCGTCAGCCGGCAAGGGTTCGGCGGTGAAGGACAACTTGGATTTGTCGAAACGCGACGGTACTGTAAGAGAGTCTGGAGATAGCAGCGGGGGCAGAGGTACTGTCGTGGAAAAGATGTTCATGATGGGTGTCGTTGACGAGGGTGATGTCCAGACGAAGTTCATCACTCGCAAGAAACTACGAAAGTTCCTGAGAATCAAGACCAAGTCGATCGATGAACCTGACTTTATGTTGGTTTTGACGAACGTAACGATCAAGCAAGTTGCTCGCTCACTGCAACGGCAAGATTAACCCGACAACGTCGGAAGTGCAAAAGCACAACGGTACCTGGATACGGACTGGGATAGGTTCAAGGAGAATCCAGCGTACCAGTTACTCATGGAGTATATGGACAATGTGTTCCGTCCTGAACTCCCGGAAGGTTTACCTGAGAAACGCGAGATTGAGCATAGGATTGACGTGAAGGATCCGAATCTTGCAATGTATCGGCAACAGTGGCGTCAATCGCCAGAGCAGCAACGCGAGATTGTGCGTTGGGTGGTAGACATGGTGAACAAGAAGCTCATTCGTCCGAGCATCAGTCCACATGCTGCTCCAACCTTCTGTGTACGGAAACCAGTTGGCTGGAGAATCGTACATGACTACCGGTACTTGAACTCCAACACTATACGCCAAAGTATCCCAATGACGAGGAAGGAGGACATCCTCGTCGCGATGTCCGGAGCGTACTGGTTTTTCACAATGGATTTGATGTCCGCGAACTATCAAGTACGTATGCGTGAAGAAGATATCAAGTTCGCAGCATTCCAAGCGCCGAACGGCCTCTGGGAGTATCTTGTTCTGCCCATGGGAGTCTGTAATGCGCCAGCGACGATACATCGTTTAACGTCAAAGCTGTTCCGAGGTTTGGAATACACCAAGTCGTTTTACGATGACATCTCTGTTTTCACAAAGTCTCAGAACATAGACGACCGCTTGAAGGCGTTGCGCAAGACATTAGATATCCTGCGTGACCACAAGGTGTACGTCAAGCTTGCCAAGTGTGTCTTCTGTGCTGAGGAGATTC